ATTTTTCCTTAAAAAAATTGAAAAAAAAAAAAAAAAAAAAGGGAATTGGTTTATATGGATGCATAGATACGAATCCAAGGGAAGCCCCAAAGCCAAAATACATGGACAAAAAGGGTTCGCGAAAATACAGGGCAACGCATAAAGCTAAAGAAATGGCGTTGATTTCACGCCATTTTCCCTTTTTCTATTCTGACTTGTCAATTCCCAATTTTCTACATTACTCTCTCTCTCTCTCTACTCACTCTCTCTCTCTCTCTACAACTTGGAATTCGAACCCCACACAGATTATTCTATAAGGAATCTGACCTAATTATATAAATAATCCCTTTTATTTATCCCCATTCGATTCTTTCCTTCTTTCCTTCTTCAATAATTGGCTCAAGTATCCTCCTTTCTTCGCTGCGACCCCCATTTTCCAATTTTCTTTTAATCAGGTATGAATTTTGATTTCGCAGATGTATATGCGCGTGTATGTATACATCGGCTTTCTGTTTTGTTTTTTTTTCGACTTTGGGTATTTGGAATTTCATGTTGGTTTCGTGTTTAATTGGAATTTTTGTTTGGTTCGATTTAGGGTTTGCTATTTGTGAAGGTCAGAAGGGCTTTTAATGGCGTCGAGAAGGATCTTGAAGGAGCTCAAGGATTTGCAGAAGGGCCCTCCGACATTTTGCAGGGGTGGGATGGCCCCCCCCCCCCCCCCCCCCCCAATTTTTATTTTTATTTTTTATATGATAAAATTGAAACCCCTTTAATCTGTGTGTGGCAAAAGAAAACAACTTTTGTTAGATAATTGGTTGAAGATCTTAGCTTTTTGGTTATAAAAAAAGTATATTATGAAGAAGTGTTATATAAAGATATGTTTTGTTTCATTTTCTTGATTTGAGGGATTTTTGTAGTTTTTTTTTGTTTTAAGACCGCTTGTTCGTCTTGTGTCGACATACTACTGAAGAAATATAAATATATAGAATCTGTTGGGAAAGGAAATATTAAATGCAGATGACCGAGTACAACACAAGTAGCACGATTTCACAGCAATTAGGAAGTTTAAGTTCGAGCTGTGTATCGGCAATTAGGATGCTTTATAGTTCTAATTGATTTTCGATGTATTTGGATTGGATGCAATTTATTCCGTTCTTTTGTGTTCTTCTAAGATGGAACGTAGATTAATATGTTGTCGATGTTTCAATATTCTGCTAGTCCATCTTATAATCCGATGTTTCGTGTTTGGGCACTTCGACAACTATTGCATAATCTTTGTATTAAAACTTTCGAATTGGTTTGAAACTATGAAGTGATTTTGCATTTACTCTGCACCCTTATACACTGTTTTCTGCTATTAAGAACATGTTTCCTTCGTGAATTGATTTCTGTCTATGATTTATCTTCTTGCTACAAAGTACATAATTGTGGATGCATTCATTAATTAATCTCGATTATCTTCTAACAATATGTAGGGCCCGTAGCCGAAGACATGTTCCACTGGCAAGCCACGATAATGGGGCCTTCTGACAGCCCTTATAGTGGAGGTGTTTTTTTAGTTTCGATACATTTTCCTCCTGATTATCCTTTTAAGCCACCTAAGGTATGTTGTCTTTATTCGATTTAGTTTTTAGGGAACTTCATATCGTTTTACTCCATAATTTATGTCGACCCAACTATTATTAGCTTTGTCGAAAATCGAAGCTTTCGATAAACAAAAAGGGTTTTATGTTTATCTTGCGTCTACAATATATATGATTCAGTCGAAATTACTTTGTGCTTATGTTGTATAAAGTCGATTGTAATAATCGAAATAGTTTGAGAAGCATTGTCGGTGCTATTTATAATCTTCTTACCCGAGAAAGACGAAAACTTGTACCACTATTATTTACAGGTTGCTTTTAGGACGAAGGTATTTCACCCTAATATCAATAGCAACGGAAGCATTTGCCTTGATATTCTCAAAGAACAGTGGAGCCCGGCCTTGACTATATCCAAGGTAATTAACTAATTTATTGCCCTTTTTTTTTTCTCGTATGAAAACTTTTCGTAGTATTTTATTTGTGAAAATGATTTTCTTTTTTCGTTTTTTGCTATAATTTTAGGTGCTGTTGTCAATCTGCTCTCTGTTGACCGACCCAAACCCGGACGATCCGTTAGTGCCGGAAATAGCTCATATGTACAAGACCGACCGCTCCAAGTACGAGACTACTGCACGTAGCTGGACGCAGAAGTACGCCATGGGCTGATCTTTCAAGACTTTGTTTGGCTGAAGAAAATAAATGAAGTGTTTGTATGTTACTTTGTGACTTTTGGATTGAAGCTATTTATGTACCTTATTTCTTAATTTGTGTATACTATGAAAGAGTGTTGGTAGGAAGGGTGTATTATGTACTCTTTTATGTATTATTTTTTTTTTGAGATATTTTTGGAGATTATTATTTATTTTTGATTAAATTTCGACCTTTGATTTACATGGGCCGGAGAAAGTTGGGATATATTTATGATTGAGTTCTTGATCGTGTTTAGTGGTCTTTTACAACTGGCGATGTGGCTTGTTGTCACGAGGGAGTGACGCTCGGGTAATTGTCTTTGTCCATTCTATTGCGAAGCTCAACCGTACGGAATCTTTGAAAATTGGAAGTGGATAGTGGGACACATATATAGCATATGAATATGATACATAATGATAGTGATAAAACGTGCATCTGATTGAGAATTATCGGGATTTTCTACGTTTAGCACTCGAACAATTTTGGGGACTCTAATGTGCAACTAACTGCTTTACACATTACGTCTTCTTGTCAATTTTCTCGGTTAAAATGGATGGAATTGTTACGTCAGTCGCACGTGATGTCGGGATAGTTACCACTTTGGCCCTTATACTATTCCACTTATTTGATTTTTGTCCTCATACAATTGAGATTGCAATTTTAGTCCGACGTTTACCAACATCACATTCATCTCATGTGACAGTAGGAATTACCTATAGTCCCATACTGGGTCACTTATTAACAAATTAACAAAATTTTGTCAATCCAGATTGCATTAATTTATAGAGATTTAAATGTACGCACGATGACTAACTTTTGAAAGTAAAAGAAAGAAGATAAAATACATGGAAAAATTCAAAACACATATTGTTTTATTGAAATCTAAACTAGAGGATTTGAAAATAAAAAAAAAAGAAGATAAATACACGGAAAAACTCAAAACACATAGTTTTATTGAAATCCAACATAATCATTAGCAACTTCATTCATATCGTCATCATCCAACTGGCCGTTTCGTCATCGTCACTACCAAAAGGTGAAACTAAGCTTTCAACATAAGAAATAGAGCCAATCAAACGATCAAACTTATCAACTTGAGACCACCGCAACAAATTTTCACCATTGTAAGCAACAATCTCCGATCGAAAAGCCACCACAACATCTCCATTCCTCTTCAAACACAACGGCGGCGTTGGACTACCACATTCGTGCTCTATCGGAGGATCGAAAGAATTCGGAAATGTCCAAATCTTAGTCCAAGATTCTCGCGCACCATACTCTGTCATAACCCATACACTCATCGCATCCGTGTATCTGTTGAAATCCATCAAAGTAAGACAGCCTCCCGTATTCTCCAAGTACGGTGGGAACAAATCGATCTCCGGAAAGCTCACCGGCCAATCCACAGTTTCGTATTTCTCCTCCACCAAATCAAGAGCAACAATTTCCCAGCCGGCGTATCCGAAAACCAACCAATGCAGCCTTCCGTTGACAAACTTACCGGCACCTCCCGAGACATGCTTATCCAAATCCTCGATTCCTTTCCAAGAATCAGTCTTGGAACTATACATATGCGCATGCGTCCGTGGCTCAAAAGATTCCATGTATCTAAAGCAGACAACTTTGTACTCGTCCGTCCTAAAGCAGACAACTTTGTACTCGTCCGTCGACTCGTTGTACCCGAACCCGTATCCTCCTACTTTGCCACTACCGAAACCGAAGGGTTTTTCAATGTGTTTGGTTTTTCTAGTTGAAGGGTTCCAGCAAATTAAATGTCCCGTATAAATATTTTCGACGAGTACTAGCCCGTTGCATGATTCCACGACCTGAATTTCGGTCTCGGGTCGAATTTGAATATCCAAACTAGTCGTGACGATGGGTTCATCGTCGTCAAGAGAGAACGACGACCCGACACTCAAGAAACGGGTCGATGAATTGTTTTGTTTACCTTCGAAGCTGAAGATGAACTTACTACCGTTATCTTTTTCGTCGGCGCGCGATTTGCTGAGGTGTCTCTTGATGAAATATTCACTGGAGATGAACGAACGCCATCGTTTTGAAACGCACTTGAATCTCAACAGGGATTTCACTGGGAGATGGAACAAGATTTCTTCGATTATTTCTTCAGGAATTTCCTGCTCCAAGTTTATTCGCTTTCGCATTCTAGATTTGTTTTCGTTTTTTCTTCCTGAGAATACAGCGTTGAAACCAGCAAATTTATATTGTGAACAAACCTAGTTTAATAAGATCTCGTTCACTTGAAATTAGATCAGGTGAGATTAAATTGAATTAGATTAAATTGAATTAATCACGTTACAAATAAGATTAAATTGAACAAACCCTACTACTACTAGTACTGTAGTATCATTATTATAATAATAATAATAATAATAATAATAATAATAATAATAATTATTATTATTATTATTATTATTATTATTATTATTAAATATATTCATTATATCATAATTATTATTTTATATATTATTATTA